TTATAGAAAAGGGGGAAATCTCAAGATGAATCCAAATCTTCCTTTTTACATCTACTTGGCAAAAAAATGGAAGAGTTAAGAAAAACATTAAGGCAATCTTGCATAGAGACATTTTCAAATTGCAGCGGGAAAAGCTACTCAAAGTGCTGCCTAGGCTTTCTCTTAATATAAAGAATACTGTGGAAATACCATACCTCTCCTGAAATGATACAGCCTATCAAATAAGATTAAAATAGAAGTTATAAGCATCAGAGTTTAAGGTGACATTATTTAAGTTCAGATTCACACACACACAAAATAATAACACTCAACTGTGACAAGAAGAGCTATATTCTAAAATGTACTCTGGTTAAAACTATAGTTACTAGATCCTCCCATGTCCAAGAACAAGGTTATACTGTGGGTAAGCACTGTTTCTTAAGATGAGGAAATGGAGTAACAGACACACATCAGTGAGGTATCTCAGTCTAAATAGAACAAGTGAAAAACCTTTCTAGATTCCGCAATGAATAACTTGTAATGCTGAACAAATTACAAGATGAAGGGAGAATGCATTCATCTTTGAGGTAAAGCAAGAAAGAGGATGGGGGGAAAAGCAAGGAAAAAATTTGCCCTGTAAATGGAGCAACTTCTTTTCATCCAAATGGCAGAAGTAAAAAGAAAACCATAAGCTAGCCCATTCTTCTGAAGAACTGTAAATTTAATAAAATTATACACTAAACCTATAATGAGCAAGTTGAGCCACATGGCAAGCAACACAAAGAAGAAACAAAAGAAGTCTCTTAAAGTCAAATGAATGCCTCATGAAAAATGAACTGCTGCATCTCTATCACAAAATCTGAAGGTGAGTTTAAAAAAACCTTATTTTTTTTTGCTTTTTATTTATTTATTTATTAAACATCTTTATTGAAGTATAATTGCTTTACAATGGTGTGTTAGTTTCTGCTTTATAACAAAGTGAACCAGTTATACATATGTTCCCATATCTCTTCCCTCTCCCTCCCTCCCACCTTCCCTATCCCACCCCTCTAGGTGGTCACAAAGCACCGAGCTGATCTCCCTGTGCTATGCAGCTGCTTCCCACTAGCTAGCTATTTTACGTTTGGTAGTGTATATATGTCCATGCCACTCTCTCACTTTGTCACAGCTTACCCTTCCCCCTCCCCATATCCTCAAGTGCATTCTCTAGTAGGTCTGTGTCTTTATTCCTGTCTTGCCCCTAGGTTCTTCATGACTTTTTATTTTTCCCTTAGATTCCATATATATGTGTTAGCATACGGTATTTCCTTTTCTCTTTCTGACTTACTGCACTATGTATGACAGACTCTAGGTCCATCCACCTCACTACACATAAGTCAATTTCGTTTCTTTTTATGGCTGAGTAATATTCCATTGTATACATGTGCCACATCTTCTTTATCCATTCATCTGTTGATAGACACTTAGGTTGCTTCCATGTCCTGGCTATTGTAAACAGAGCTGCAATGAACATCTTGGTACATGACTCTTTTTGAATTCTGGTTTTCTCAGGGTATATGCCCAGTAGTGGGATTGCTGGGTCATATGGTAGCTCTATTATTAGTTTTTTAAGGAACCTCCATACTGTTCTCCATAGTGGCTGTATCAATTTACTTTCCCACCAACAGTGCAAGAAGGTTCCCTTTTCTCCACACCCTCTCCAGCATTTATTGTTTCTAGATTTTTTGATGATGGCCATTCTGACTGGTGTGAGATGATATCTCGTTGTAGTTTTGACTTGCATTTCTCTAATGATTAATGATGTTGAACATTCTTTCATGTGTTTGTTGGCAATCTGTATATCTTCTTTGGAGAAATGTCTATTTAGGTCTTCTGCCCATTTTTGGATTGGGTTGTTTGTTTTTTTGATATTGAGCTGCATGAGCTGCTTGTGAATTTTGGAGATTAATCCTTGTCAGTTGCTTCATTTGCAAATATTTTCTCCCATTCTGAGGGCTGTCTTTTGGTCTTGGTTATGGTTTCCTTTGCTGTGCAAAAGCTTTGAAGTTTCATTAGGTCCCATTTGTTTATTTTTGCTTTTATTTCCATTTCTCTAGGAGGTGGGTCAAAAAGGATCTTGCTGTGATTTATGTCATAGAGTGTTCTGCCTATGAAAAAACCTTATTTTGAGAACAAATAAAATTTTATGTTTACCTGACATTTTGGCTACTCACAGGAAAATCAAATAGTTTCCCACCATCTCTAGTGTATTTGTGCTCTGGCATTCAAAAAACTGGATTTCAGATTAAGATCCAAAAGAGGGTTGGTCATAGAAACAAGGGCTTGTAAAGCAAATTTTCAGTATTTTTTAGCTGTCTCAAGATTTTCTTGTCTTTCTCTCTTCAAGAAAATATGGAGTCAGACTGTTTAGGTTCATATCTTGATTTCCTAGCTTGCTACCTGGATGACAAGGCAAGTCTCTTGTTCTGCCTGGGATTCCTCCTCTGTAAAATGGGGATAATAACTCCATTGGGCTACTGAGGGACTAAACGATTTAATGCATGTTAAGAGCTTAGAACAGTACCTGGTGCACACAGTATTTACCATATTAAATTTTGTTAAATAAAAATTAAAACTTTATTAGGCCAATCTATATTAGGTTCTGAGTATAAAAAAACCAACAGGATGCTGTTTCTAAAAAAGCTTGGTGAGAGAGATGGATGAATAAACAATGATTACAAAAGAACAAGAACAGTGCTATGATACAGATGAGTAGTCTATTTGTGAGCACATAAAGAGGACCTCTAACTTTACCACATCCTCATTCAGAGTGTTCACAATGATGCCCTTCCTGACAGGAAGTAGACTTGTCCACCAAACTCACCCAATTCCCATGAGGGTGAGTGAGAAGGTGCTTACCTTTGCTTAGCTAAGAGAAGCCTGTCACAAAGAACAAATCAGATAACAAAGGAAACGGGTGACAATCTCCACTTGGTATTCAAAAAGAAACTTATTTTCCCTCTCTAGTTTCAAATAGCAGAGTCTACAAGTGGTCTCAATTTCATTTTCATTGTATGTACGACATAATCTAAAGTCTGACCACCAGGCACTTCCTGAAAACATGGTTTTAAAATTTTCTCATGATTAAGTCAAAATGAAAATTCAAAAGTATCTCCTTTTTTTTTTTTTTTGCGGTAGGCGGGCCTCTCACTGATGTGGCCCCCTCCTGTTGTGCAGCACAGGCTCCGCACACGCAGGCTCAGCGGCCATGGCTCATGGGTCCAGCCGCTCCGCGGCATGTGGCATCTTCCCGGACCGGGGCATGAACCCGTGTGCCCTGCATTGGCAGGCGGACTCTCAACCACTGCGCCACCAGGGAAGCCCCCCAAAGTATCTCCTTTTGAGAGTATACTTTCTCCATACCTGTGACCAAGAGCTTCTTCCTAGTATTTGTAATTTTTTTAGTTTTGCTCCTCAAGGTTGAGGTTAAGAGAGGCAGTGTTAACTATGACTGGTCTCTAGGGAAACCTCCAAGAATCACTCTTTTAAACATAAAACACTACCCTTTAGAAAGTTTTATTTTCCCCTCACTTCAGCAGTAGATAGAAAAAGGGCTAGGCCTCCTTATCTAGATGTCTTTAAACTCCCTAATGACTATTTCTTGGCTCTCAGTCTATATCCTTAACTACCGGCAATTGAAAAGTCCCTCAGCCTCTCCTCCACTACCCTTGGCCAACGTTTTTGTGCCCTTTAACTCCTGTCATAGAGACAGAGGGAGTGGAAACGCCAAGAAGAAAGTCAGAAATCTGATCTTCATGTTACAATTTTCTCTAGCCCGACCATGAGAGCATTAGGAAAGTGCCACCTTAAAAACTGCCTGCCCTTTTTCAAAGTGGCAAAACAAATCCAGATAAAAAGATTAGCTTCCACCTTCCTCTGCCTCATTTTATAGCACAGGTTTTCAGAAAACAGAACAAAAGAACATATTTCAAGTTAGAATACAAATAAACCATTCATACTGTTGTTCTTTCTTATAAATATTGTGACTTCAAAAAAAAAAGGGAGGGTATGTTAAAAGTCTAAGCTATGCCACATTCCAGCAAAATTATTATTTTCTTTTCTTTTTACTTTTCCGTATGTCCAAACTTGAGGTTTAAAAATGGAGTTTTCTTAGCCAAAACTCTTAACCCATCTGAGACAGGTGTCTCTAGGTTGAACAGAACAGTGTTCTTTAGAAGGTTTACAGAAAACCATTCAAAACCTGTTACTATTCAAAGGGAGAGGATAACCCTTTAGTTAGTACATTATCCATGTTTTAATAATAATATGAATGACTCTGACACTCTATATAGTTTTTTCTATAACGTTTTAATACAAAAGCTATCCTCATACATTTAAATTCATTTGGATATGAAAAAGACATCCAATGTCACTTGCTAGAGGGCAAGAAGTTAAGTCTTCAGAACTTGTTTCACATCACAACTGGCAGGGTTCTGAACTTTCATTTAATTATATAATATATACTATTTGATGATATGTATATAAATGTTAATATGCAAACACTCTCATATATTCTTACGTGATTAATACATATATACAAACACAAAATCATGCTAAATGTTCCAGTTTTCTCCAGTTAAAAGCTGTTACAATTTGCCAAGACACTTTCATTACTCTAAAACTCTAAACATGAGTTAGAAGAGGCTTATGAGTAAAAAAAAAAAAAAAAAAGAGCCCACCTGATCTTCATTAAGTAACAAGAGCAGTGGGTTTTCTTTATCACTCCTGCTGTGCTTTCATACAACAAGGAGCTTCCCTCCTGACCCAGAGCCTGCTTCATGTAATCATTCCTGACCTCTGGGCCCCAGGAACAGAAGAGGAAAGGGAAACAGGGAAGTAAATGAAGCCAACTCAATCACATGCTGTAACTGTAGGTCTAAAGACAATGATGTACACAGTGAGACAAAGTAAAAGGCAGATAACTCTTCTGACATCTTGCTGATCCATTAAAGACAAGAAAAGGTAAGAAAAACGATGCTTACCTGTTGTTCCTGAATTTTAGCAGCACCAAGTTCTGAGAGAGACACAGTGAGCTTCTCCTGCTGTTCTGATAGATATTTCTGATAGAGGCTTAGAAGTTCTTGGCATTCTTTATACTGTAGTTGAAGAGGTGAGATTGCAAATTAAGGGAAAAAGCTAATAAATGGATTTAAACTGAATATATCGGTATTGTTTTTCAGATTTCAACAAACAAAATAGAGACAGAAATGTAACCATACTTGGTGAGAGTGCAGGTAAGCTACAGTCTTCAGATGAACACAGCATATGTATCCCCCTCAAAATCATGAAACAATAATTCACAGGGAGTAACAATGTTTATCCTTATTAAAATTTTTCTTTCTCAAGTCTTTAAATTTGATAAAAACAAACATATGCACAAGAATGAAGGTGGACCCCCATCTCACACCATATATAAAACTACCTGAAAATGGATCACTGACCTAAATTTAATAGCTAAAACTATAAACTTTATAAAAGCAAATCTTTGTGACCTTGGATTAGGCAATGGTCACCTAAAAGCACAGCAATGAAGAACAAATAAATAAACTGGATTTCAAACTTTAAAACTTTGTGCTTTAAAGGACACTATTAAGAAACTGAAAAGACAACCTCCAGAATGAGAGAAAATATTTGCAAATCATACAAATGATAAAGGTCTGGTATCCATATATATGTAAAGATGTTATATGACTCAACAATAAAAACTATTACCTAATTAAAAATGGGCAAAGGACTTGAATAGACATTTCCCAAAAGAAAATATACAAATGGCCAAGCAGCACAAGAAAAGATGCTTTACATTGTTATCCATTAGCTACTAGGAAATGCAAATCAAAATCACAGTGAGATACCACTTTGCATTTACTAGGATGGCTATAATCAAAAAGACTGACAATAACAAGCACTGGCAAGAATATGGTGAAATTAGAACCCTCCCACATAGCTGATGGGAATGTAAAATGCTGCTGCTTTGGAAAATAATTTAGCAGTGCCTCAAAAAGTTAGACACAGAGTTACCATATGACCCACAATTCTACTCCAATTCCCCAAGAGGACTGAAAATATAGGTTCACATTAAAAACTTATACATGCATATTCAGAGCAACATTATCCATAACAGTGAAAAAGTGAAAACAATCCAAATGTCTATCAAGTGACAAATGGATAAACAAAATGTGGTATACCTATAAAATGGAATATTATTCAGCCATAAAAAGAAACAAAGTATCCCTACATTCTACTATATGAGTAAAACTTGAATATATTATATGCTAAAGCCAGACACAAAAGGCTACAAATTCTATGTATGTTGTTTTTAAAATACCTCTTCCAATGAGCCAGGGAAAAGAATACTTAGTTCTAAGTATACCAGATCACAAGTAAGAGTTACATTCATCCATGTTCACTTTCTGTCCTCTTCTCTAATTTTCTGAAGTACCCATTATGTGAGAAAAGCTAAATGGGGAAAAAAAGAGAAATGTCCAGAATAGGCAAATCCATATAGATAGAAAGTATATTAGTGGTTGCCAAAAGATGGAGAAGGGACATAGGGAGCACTTGCTGATGGGTATGCGTTTTATGGGGGAGGCAATGAACATGATCTGGAACTAGAAGGCTGTCTTTGCACACCTTTGGGAATATACTCAAAACCATTGAATTCTATACTTCCAAAGGGTGATTTTTATTGTATGTGAATTATATCTCAATAAAGCTGTCACTAAAAAATTCAGGGTAGAAGTGATCATACTCTTCTGGTCAAAGTAATTGCTGCCTAATTTACATAGGAGGTTCTAACTATATTAAACATAACAGGATTATGATTAGATTTTTGTCCTATTTGTTTGGTTTTGCATAATGTCAATATTTCATTTATAAAAGCATCATCAGGAAATTTTCTGCCCATATACCTCCCTACATGTTTTACAGTCTAGTATGAAGAACACAGCAGCCTAACTTGGGGTACCCTCTCCCACAGCTCCTCAAATTTGCAAAGTGCTCAGAAAGAAGATACTAAACTGCACAGATCAGGTGTCTGGAAGACAGGGAGTTCTATCCAAGGGAGAGTTCTCTGTTCCTTATTTCTCACTGTGGTAATTTCTTCCCAAGGCTCATTCTTCTCTCAGATCATTTCTGAATCTCCCCAACACCTAATTATATATGCTGTTGTATCAAAATTACTGTCCAATAAGATTATTCTGTATAAATACTTTTATAACAGGTCATCATGATTAAGTGTGGGAATAGTATTTCTTAAGTGTCAAAAATGGTGACTGGCTTCAGTGTTCTTAACATTTTCATAACCGTATCATTGCTTCTGGGCAGATTCCTATTCTAATAACTTTTGCCAATCCTGACTGAATAAATAACCAATTGCTTCATTATTCTCATTGTTAACCTTTAACAAAAACCAGAGATGGCTTGTAGAAGAGGAGCTGGTTCATAATGAAAGGATAGATTACTAAGCCAAAAAACACATTAAGTAGAAGAGCATGTTTAATACTCAGCATCTTAAAAACAACCACAACAATACAATGAACAGTGGTCTAGATAAGCTAATATGTTTTCAAAACCAATCTATATCAGACCAGGTTGGTTTTACATCTCCATGCTTTTCCTCAGCAAGCTCAAAAAGACAGGAATGATTTGTGGCGGTCCCAAGAGCCTCTGCCAGCTATGATGTATATAAAAAGAATTTTTTATTCTATCTGTTACCATAGGCAATAATGTCTGTAATAGGTGAACATATTAGCCTGGACACAGAATATGAATTTGTCTCAAAAAAGCCAGCACAATTATACAGTCTAAGAGTTAAATGTCAGCATTTGAAGACAAATTATAGGCAAATTCATTTAAACACATGCTATGTGGCAGAATATAAAAACAAGCAGTCCTATCTTTATCAATTTTTTATATCTGTATTGATTCACCAGATTTTGAAATGCCCTCCCCTTTCCTGTAAAATCCAAAATATATGTACATGCAAAACAGTAATTTTCCTTCCTCCTTAGCACAATGAGACTTCAACCCTCCATCTGGAGAGAGAGATTTATGTTAGGAAAATGTAAGTAAAATACCTTCTTAACTGATTTGGGGGAGGGAGTACAGTGAGAAAGAAGACATATTTAACTCAAGCCTGGCCAACTGACAGAAAAGAATGCAACAGATGTAGGAAATTGAACCTAAGGGAAGGTGTGCACCAACCATGATGTGAACCTAGCATACTGCTGGTCTGCCCAACGACCATTCAAAAACTGAGAGAAACTGCAGTCATCACAGCCTCATCAAAGAAAGCAAGCTTCGTAAGATAACAGAAATAAATATAAATTAATATTGAGCAACATCACATCAAAACCTAAACATATCAAATTAATTAGCTGAAATGGATGTTGGAAATGGTCATTTTGCAAAGCTTAAAGCCTTAACTCCAAAATGCATTATATAGAAAAATAAAACTAAGGATTGAAGCAGAATGAATAGGGAGATGAAAGAATAAAAACTGTGAGAAAAATCAGGGGTGGAAGTAGAAGGACCAGAAGACAGAATATACTAGTAGTATGCTGCCCAAGTGATTGTCTTAAACTGGAAGAATTCCTCTGGTGGAGCAGAGACCACTCCCATCACCCCATCCCACCCTTGCCTCAGGTATTTAGGACACTTGAATCTGGTAGTTTACTATGTAAATCCTGATCTAATACAGAATGAAATTAAGAAAGGTCTCCATGAGAGGAGAAAAGGGAGAATAATCATTTTTTTTAAAACAACTCCATTTTGGGAATCAACTCCTCAGAAAAATGGCTGATCCCCATTCTGGGGGAGGGAAAGTACAAAGTGAGCTCGAAATTCTTGTTATTTTAATGTAAGAAAGTGTTTAAAGACGAATAGATGAGGGCTCATCAAAAGGAATAGCAGCAACCCTGAAGGGGACTCAGCCAAATTTGGGACAATTTGAGCACCAAAAGGAATGACTCTAATTAATAGCAAATTAAATAAATAAAAATCTACCAGTTCATAGTGATACTTCAAAAGAAGGGAAGAGTGAAAGTGGAAAAAATTGAAGTTCTTCTTTATAGAAAAATGCTAATTATTTAGAAGGAATGGTCAAATTTTTAAAATCACCACTTTGCAATCCCCAATGTAATAACTAATTCAGGTGAGGATCATTAATTGATATTAAAACCAGTATGTAAAAGGTTAATAAATAAGATATTCATAAGGTGTCAAGATTAGTTATTTATAGCAAAGAAGAAAATGTACCTTTGAATGGTAAAACCTGGTAGTCATCACCTAAACAAAGTAAATTAATGTAGGATTACTAATAGTGAAAAAACCAGACATTATGTACCTCTTAATGTCTGAAGCAGGCAACATCACCTAAGAAATACTCTTGCCAAGAATGTTTTACCTGAATCAAATGAAATCTGTAAATCTAACTCCCACTGCACAGGAATTAAAAGAAATAAAGGAACAAATTACATTATACCACAAGGAAACAATCAGACAAATCCATAATGTGGGAGATTTTGCAAAGCACTTGACCTGAACTCTTCAAAAAGTAAAGTCATGGGGGAAAAAAGTGGGTAGGCCAATTTTAGATTAAGAGAGCAAAGATGCAACCAAATGTAAGCCATGAATCAGACTGAATCCTGGCTCAGGAAGAGAAACAGCTATAAAAGACATTCTTGGGACAACTAGGGGAACTGGAATAGGGACTCAATACCAGTTGATATTATAGAATTACTGCTTATTGTCTTAGGTATCATAATGTGGCTTATAAAGATTCTTATGAATGTGAAGTACTTAGGGGTGACATATGACACCTGCCACTTTAAAGTAGTTAAAAAATAAGCAAAATAAATTTTATATATGTAAGTAAATAAATTTATTTACTTATATAAATATATTTATAATATAAATTAAACATAAATATGTATATAGATTTGTGTATATATATATATAGATATATGAGGAGGCAAAGCAAATAGAGCAAAATGTCAACAACTGTGGAATCTAGGTAGCAGGTATATGGTGGTTCATTGCACTATTCTGTCAACTTTTCTATATATTTGGAAACTGTCATAATAAAAATTGTAAAAATCCCTTTTTTGTTTT